CCCTCTAATAACCCCCTTTCCCTTTAATAACCCCCTTTCCCTCTAATAACCCCCTTTCCCTCTAATATTAGTAATAACCCCCTTTCCCTCTAATAACCCCCTTTTTGAAGACGAAGTTTACTAACCCCGCCCCTGCCTCCCCTAATTACAATGTATAAGACATGCTATAAAACATTCTGCTATATGACAAAATTAATAGTATATTGTAGTCTAATTCTTATAAGAACCCAAATGCATCTACAACATTGGTATTCACTTCTATAATAAGAACAATTTCTCTTCTCTTTCTCTCTTGTAAATATATATATATATTCCTTTAATATTGTGATTGACTGTAAATAATTTATTACATAACACAATACAAACTAGCATAACTAGAGACCTAAAAAAAAGTCTACTAAGATTTCTAGTAGGTCTCTAGCCCGCACTCTACAATTATTGTAAATATACTACACATAAATTTATTGTACATGGGGAAAATTTTTAAAATAAAAATAATAAAATGTACTGATTATGAACCACGTTAGTTTAAGACCTTGATGAGCATATATATGTAATTGCAGACACATCCTCTGTTTCAATGGTGTCCAGGAGCGGATTGCTCGGCGATTGTAAAAGCAGAAGTATGCAAGGCAAAACGTACCGTCTGTTCAAAATGCAAAACAACGTTCTGGTACGTGCAACAGAAATCTCGTATCAATAGATTCCGGCCATAGACTAAATTGTAATCTAGGCAAGAAGAACAAAATCCATTACCACAGCTAGAAAGAGCATGTTAAAATTAGTAAAATTGCAAAGTTTGGTTGCGAAATGTTGTAAAATGTGGAAAATATAGCCCTGTGAAATTTGCAAATTTTGTATCGATTTGTATTACGCGCGGGAAAATGCAGCACATTTGGGCAGAAAGTGTTGCATTTTCTCCCGTGCGTAATACAAATTAATACAAAATTTGCAAATTTCGCAGCGCTATATATATTGTCCGCATTTTACAACAATTAGCAACCAATCATTGCAGTTTTTACTCGTTCTAAGACGCTCTTTCTAGCTGTAGTGTTGGATTTTGTTCTTCTTGCCGAGATCAAAATGTAGTCTATATAGCTGCAGGAATAACCCATTCTCTCACTACAAAGAGCAACGAAAAATTTCTTGTTGATCTCGATCTCGAAGTTGCTAGACCACTAGACAATATTCTATACTCGCCCACCGTTTAATGCGTTATTTCAATTAATGTGTACTTTTTCTTTCAAATAGTTTTCAATGTGGACTGGATTACCATGCCCCTGCTGGTATGTTATTTGAATTCGTTGTTTTCGCTCGTATGGTTATATTTTGAATAGTAGGACACTGATTAAGATACTTTCAGAGTTCGCATTGAATGGTAATTTCAGCTTTAGACTAAATTTTGATCAAGGCAAGAAGAACGAAATCCAACACCACAGCTAGAAAGAGCGTCTTAGAATGAGTAAAATTGCAAAGATTGCTTGCTAATTGTTGTAAAATGAGGAAAATGTAGCCCTGTGAAGTTCGCAAATTTTGTATATATTTGTATTACGCGCGTGAAAAATAACCACTTTCGGCTCAGAAATGGTTATTTTTCGCGCGCGTAATGCAAATATATACAAAATTTGTGCTATATACGTCGCCAATGAACTCTTCAGATGGGTCGTTTTTTAAGCCATTTAAAACACTCGCAGTCGCAGCTTTATCAGATATAAAACACTCGAGCTGCGCTCTCGTGCCCACTGACCAACTCGGCCCATACCATCTTGGCCCAATTGTTAACTACTGTTTGACATATTAGGAGAGCTAATATTTTACAAAAGATAGCACCAAACCAATACAGCCATGTACAGTTGCATTGGGCGTACAGATGAGTAAAGTTTGAGAACATCCAGTTTGACTTAATTTAATTAAAGAATCTATCGAAGTTTCAAATTCTCGATCTGTCCGTTTTGATACTAAATTCGAGACTAAATTACTGATCATTCAAATCTCTCTCAAAATTTGCAAAGATAGAACGCAGTCATGGCTCCTAGCTTGTTTAGTGGTTAGATTAGTCAGTTTACGAGCGGGCAGAGTTATTCCTTGAACGGTGGGCCGAGTTGGTTAGTGGGCCGAGTTGACTGTAAAGCTATTATATAATTATGTAAATAGTCTTGTAGTCCTTGTCTTTAGTTAATGTCTATTGAGTATTTGGTGTTTTTAGGTTAATTGGTCTTCAAAAAAAGTTTTAAAAAGTTGATTTGTAATAATTTGATAGTAGTTTTGTATGGTTGTAAAATTATTTTAAAAAAATAAATAACTAAATAAATAGAAATAAAGTAATTTTCAATGTCTCTGTTTTCAGATTGTGTCGTGATCAAGAAATGGTTAACAAAATGTCACGACGATTCTGAGACGGCAAATTATATTCAAGCCAACACAAAAGATGTAATTATGCTGCGTAATGACGTTGATATACTTACAGTTTCATATTATTCTGACACTGCAATCGAGCAACGAAAAATTCATTGGCTCGAGCGGGATTTGAACTCGTATGAAAAAATATGAAACTGGTTTTTCGTATCTCTGAGGATCTGGTTCTGAAATACTTACAGTTTGATTATGTAATAATTACATGTATCTTAGTGCGTGATCGGTGACTGCCTATGCAACCTCGTACTCGGGGTCTTGGGGCGTGCGAAGGTAAGAGCCTGGATACGAGATTGACTGCCTATGTTTCTTTTTCTAGTGTCCCAAATGTATGATTTGTATCGAGAAGAATGGAGGATGCAATCACATGGTAATTATATCATAATTGGAGGGCTTTATTACATTGACACTCAAACTACACACGTAAAAATATCACAACTTGTCAACAAGATGTGTTCGCAACAGGCTTGTTGACAAATTGTTGATTGTTAATTGTTGAATTGCAGGACGATAACAAGTTGTTTGAACAACTTGTAACAAGTCTGTTGAGCTCAACAACCTTGTAGCAAGTTGTCAACAAACCGTTGACAACTTGTCAACAAGCTGGGAACAAGCAGTGCGAACACATCCTGTTGACAAGTTGTTGGAACAGCATTGCTACAAGTCTGCTGCAGATTTGTTGCAACTATTAATAGGCTACACTCCTAAAAACGCACAAGTTGTTACATGTCTGTAAACAAGTTGTTACAAATCTGTTCACAAGCTGTCGACAAGTTGTGTTCGCACTGCTTTTTCCCAGTTGTTGTAACAAGTTTTGAACACGCTGTTAACAAGTTGTAACAAGCTTGATGGCATTATCAGCCTTGTAGCAAAGTTGTTCTAACAAGTCTGATACAGTCATGATATAACAAGAATGTTACAAGGTTGACAACACAAGGTTGTAACAATATTGTTATATCATGACTGTATCGGACTTGTTGGAACAACCTTGCTACAAGTCTGATAATATCAGCAAGCTTGTTACAAGCTGTTAACAACTTGTACAATATTGTTATATCATGACTGTATCGGACTTGTTGAAACAACCTTGCTACAAGTCTGATAATATCAACAAGCTTGTTACAAGCTGTTTAAACAACTTGAATACAATATTGTTATATCATGACTGTATCAGACTTGTTGGAACAACCTTGCTACAAGTCTGATAATATCAACAAGATTTTTACAACTGTTAACAGTTTGTTCCATACTTGTTGACAACTTGGAACAAGCAGTGCGAACACAACTTGTTGGCAGACTTGCTACAAGATGCGAGACTTTTGCGCGTATAAAACCCTTCATGATCACAAAACTTTAAATTGCTAAACATTATATTGCATCTTTTCTTTTCTGCAGCAATGTTACAAATGTAAACATGGTATGTATCATTTATTACAACGGTTTTGAAATAAAATTGAAATATCACAGCATACTCAGACCCCGAGCACACCGAATGCCTTTATTTGGTGTGTGTTACATTAGAGCTAACCTGGAACAGTTGTGAAAAAAGCAACTATAAGCCCTCTGGCAGGAATGAAACCTACCATTCCGGTGCAACGTTCTAACCAACTGAGGAGAACAGGCCAGTTGTCGAGCCAGGGACGTATTGTATTGATAATCGCTTTATTAGCATGACCATATTTTACAGGTATTGCTAAAACTTAACTATAACGTAACAATGTAACATATAAAAAATATTTAAGAAGTAGACTATAAGAAGATACTATTTACAGGATGGAAAGTTTAACTAATGACTACCAGCATTCCCGGCTTCAAGTTGTTTAAGTCTTTCCTCAAAACACGAAAAAATAAATTTCGATAATTTCAGGATGGTGTCACTAGCAGTTGACTTCATTATGTCAACTGATAAAGTTGGTTTGTTTAAGTTTGTCTCAGTAGTAGTGAGATCGTTTTTTAGACTGTTTATAAAGTTTACTCGAGTGTCACCGTAAGCCTCGTATAGCGAAGCATCTGAAGTTGGGGTGTCAGAGGATTTTTCCTTAAATTTGAACTTCAATGTTAAAAAATTTACTTGAAGTGTAATAATTATAATAGAGCTTTTTTCTGGTTGATTTCCACTGTCATGCTAAGCTTCCGAAGAAAAGGGGGGTCTGTCTGGGGGGTCCTGCCCCAGAACATTTTTACATTTTTGAAGCTCCAGGGGCGCATTTCTAGCGTTTTCTAAAGCAAATTCGCAAACGAATTGGATCTAAATTGACTGTATTTTACTAAAATGGTTATCATTTCACAACTTTATTATGCAAATTTTCCATGACAATGTCAAAATTTTAACTTGATTTTTACCTGAGTTTAACAGCTGGAGGGTTCCACCCCCCCCTCGGTCGCTACGTCCCTGTGTCGAGCTCTAACCACATGTGTAATATACTAAAGTTATACCAATGTAAGATATATGGGTTAATACACAAAACCCTCCAACCGTTAGTTCTATCGAATAAGATACCCAAAATCCTGTTGTATTGTATTTTCTAAAATCGTCGCCTCGAAATTGATGCTGTATACTTACTTTAATCAAGTGAACGATTTCTTTTCGATTCATTTTCTGTAGAATTTTGTTGGATGTGTCTGAGAAATTGGACTGAGCACAATCGCGAGTATTATGAATGTAGCATATATAAAGAAAATCCCAAAGTAGCGAATGAAAATTCAGGATTGAAAGCAAGAGAAGCTTTAAAGAAATATTTATTTTATTATGAACGAGTAAGTTTTTGAATCACGAGTCTTCAATCCATCCTTCTTAATCCAGAAGAGATGATTCTTACTGGACCTCTAGGAAGAACAGTTTAGAACTGATGGAGCGGCTATCAGTATAAATAAAGTTAGTTTAGTTTGTAGGTTTCCTCCTGTAGTAACATTGGATCAAGAAGAGATGATCCTTACTGGACCTCTAGGAAGAACAGTTTAGAACTGATAGAGCGGCTATCAGTATAAATAAAGTTAGTTTAGTTTAGGTTTCCTCCTGTAGTAACATTGGATCAATAAGAGATGATCCTTACTGGACCTCTAGGAAGAATAGTTTAGAACTGATAGAGATATCCAGTATAAATAAAGTTAGTTTAGTTTAGGTTTCCTCCTGTAGTAACATTGGATCAATAAGAGATGACTCTTACTGGACCTATAGGAAGAACAGTTTAGAACTGATAGAGCTATCCAGTATAAATAAAGTCAGTTTAGTTTAGTTCAGGTTTCCTCCTGTAATAACACTGGATCATTAAGAGATGATCTTTACTGGACCTCTGGGGAGAACAGTTTCGAACTGATAGAGCAGCGCTATCGTGTATAAATTATTAAATTATTTTGAAATATTTTGCTGCAGTGGTATAATCATGGCGCGAGTCTCAAACTAGAGGCGCAAGCGAGGAAGAAAATTGATCAAAAAATTCACGAGAAAGTCAACAACAATGTTGGGACCTGGATAGATTGGCAATATCTCCTAGATGCCGCTACTCTTTTGGCTAAGGTGTGTGTAGGCTCGAGACAACGAATTTTCGTTTTACTCCACAGTGTCAGAATAATATGAAACTAATTTTTCGATATCTCTGAGCATGGTTCTGACATATTCACTGTGTTTGCCAGAAGTTTAAAACATTCGGCAATTTTTAATGAAAATTTCAGTTAGCCTGCGACATTCAGATTTCAGACCGGAGTTAAGGAATTGAGTGTTTTTTAATTAATTAATTAAGTGATGTTCTCGTCAGCGTCTTAGCTCGAGGGCTGTGTTGGCCGTGTTATCGCGGCCAAAAATGGGAAAACACGGCTAGATAAAACGAACGCGGCTTCATTATTTATATAAGGACGTGTATGTTCATAAAATAAGACAGTAGACAGAATATCTTTCTATTTACGTCATAAGGAAGTTTGTAAAATCTATTGTTGTTGTTGAAATTGGCAAAAGTGATCCGTGATATTTTAATGTTTTGATGGATAATGGGAACTGTATGGTGTTAAAGTGGTTTTAAATACCCCCAAGAGTTGCTGAAATAACTTAATATTTTAATGTCAGTGCGCAATAGGAGTATATGCTCGCCTTGTATTTGGTTGCAAAGCACAGAACAACCATAGGCATTGTCCGTTGTTGTAGAACCGTGAATTTGGCTATTTAAGGTAATTGACATGTGCACACCCTGGTCATTTAGAAACACGCGCAAGATCTAAAATCCTAGCTAAGACCCTGGACTTCTCGTGGCCTGGCTAGGTGCTTCGGTGGCCCACTCATCAGAACAAGCGTCTCTCGCCTCTGAGTTCGTGGGTTTGATTCTCGCTATGGATTCACTGATGTCATGTCTCTCAGTTGGCTTCCAATTTTGGAACGTAGGAATTATCATCTTGCCAAATTAGCATACAAAGCAATGAATTGTGATGACTGGCCTTCATACTTAAAATTAGAGGAATATATTCCTATAAGACCATTACGATCATCATCTGCCCGGCGTCTAGTAGTCCCTATTATCTCTGGAACCTTCCAAGATGAAGCAGCTCGAGTGTTCAATTCCTTACCTGAAGAAATTCGAAACTGCGATACATTTAAAGATTATTGCAGGACCTCCTCCGAGTACTTCAAAACATTAGTCAAAAACAGAATTAGTGACACGTCGTAAACTCTGTTGACATTGTGTGTATAACTATACTGTATTGTACTGTGTATGTCAATTGTTAAATACTAATAATGTCAATTGTTAAATACTGTAATGTACATATCATATCATATCGCATGGAAATTTGCACTAGAGAAATCCTAATCGTAAACATGTATGCATCATGTCGATCATATTTTACGCATCTTGGCGTTCAGTTTGGTGCTGAGGCGTTCGGATTCTATCAGTGCGTTGTTTCAGTGGTTTTGGTTTTTTTGGGACACCCTGTACAGTATATACTGTGAATTAAAAGGTCTATGTTAGGAAGAGGAGGGGCACCATGCAATGGACTTTACGTCCAGTTTGAGTACAGCCCTTTAATTGTATGTTAGATGAATATTTGTTGAATTAATTTGTACTCAATAAAGTTTAACAAACACAAACACAAACACAAACACAAACACAAACACAAACACAAACACAAACACAAACACAAACACAAACACAAACACAAACACAAACACAAACACAAACACAAACACAAACATAAACAAACCTATCGCCAGCTGAGCTAACTTTTGAAGTGCATGTCACCTTTTCTTGAGCAAAGTTTTGAATTTGAACAATCTTTCACATACATAATTAGTTACGTTTTTGGCTGATCTAAATTCACCATTTGTGAAATTACTAACACCCTGATATTGCCAGACCAAATTTTGAGAATTATATTGAAGCCTAAACTAAGTCTTCATCTGGTTGATTAATTTTCTTTTAATTATTCCAGTGTCGCTACACGATCAAGTATACCTACCCCTTCGCTTATTACATGGAGGATGAACGCAAGGAACTCGTAAGTCGCTGGCTCGTGTGTCGATTGTAGAATTAAAAATATATACAAAGGGTGACTCAAGCTATAGACTAAATTTTGATCAAGGCAAGAAGAACGAAATCCAACACCACAGCTAGAAAGAGCGTCTTAGAATGAGTAAAACAGCAAAGATTGGTTGCTAAATGTTGTAAAATGAAGAAAATATAGCCCTGTGAAGTTCGCAAATTTTGTATATATTTGTATTACGCGCGGTAAAAATAACTACTTTCGACTCAAAAATGGTTGTTTTTCCCGCGCGTAATGCAAATATATACAAAAATTTGCGAACTTCACAGGGCTATATTTTACTCATTTTACAACAATTCGCAACCAAACTTTGCAATATTACTCATTTTAAGATGCTCTTTCCAGCTATGGTAATGGATTTCGTTCTTCTTGATTGTCTAGATCAAAATTTCGTCTATAGGAATCATCCATTATGATTTAATCATATAGTTTGTATCTTTCATTATTTCTCCAGTTTGAATACCAACAAGCACAATTAGAACGTGAAATCGAGAATCTTTCCTGGAAGTTAGAACGAGAGGAACTTTATAAACGCGGGGTAAGTGTACGAGGATAATTTCTGATTATGATATTTGCAGTAGTGGACACTATACATGCGCAAAAATCTCGCATCTTGTAGCAAGTCTGCCAACAAGCCGTCAACAAGTTGTGTTCGCACTGCTTGTCCCAAGTTGTCAACAAGTTTGGAACAACTTATTAACAATTGTAACCAGCTTGTTGATATTATCAGACTTGTTACAAGGTTGTTCCAACAAGTCTGATGCAGTCATGATA